TTATAGAGGCTTTCTATTTGACTAACTGTTTATACATTATCAATGACGGTCTTCAGAAAACCTGGTTGAAAAGAGTCATTATTTGTGTGTGTGTGTGTGTGTAGCTCCAGCTGAATTATCTGGGTAACTACGTGCCGACGGCGTGGACGTACGAACACGGATGTGGGATCTGTGACGATGATTTGCTGGACCTGAACGGTCTGTCTGTGAGTGGCTGACACAAACACATTCTGGCAAATCTGCGTCGTGTGCTTTAGGAGGATGAGATTGTATGTTTGTGTGTGTTTGTGTAGGACGAGGAGATGCCGCTGGTGCATATCGCTGTGTTTATCGAGCAGCCAACGCCATTTCTGGAAGAATTTCTGGAGAGACTCGCAACTTTGAACTACCCACACACACGCTTACGACTCTTCATACACAACAACGTACGTTCACAATGGCAACGTGCATTTTACATTATTAAATTAAATTGTTAAATTATTGCATATCATTTTCATACATAAGAACGTAAGTACACACTAGAGATCGACCGATATTGTTTTTTTTTTTATAACCGATATCAATACAGATAATTTGCATGTTTATGTGCCAGGTAACCAATTTTGTATGAACACAAAGATAACAACGTACATTTTAAATGAGTAAATTAAATTATTTCATTTTTATATTTCATTTTTATACACAACTTATGTACACAATGACAACAACGTGCATTTTAAATTAATACATTATTATATTTAATTTTCATAGACCACAAGGTATGTACACAACAAAAACAATGTACATTTTAACTTGTTAAATTAAATTATTATATTATTTTATTTTTTATACATAACAAATGCAAGTACACACTAGAGATAAGCCGATATTGGTATTTTTATAACCGATATCAATACCGATCATTTGCATGTTTATGTGCCAGGTAGCCGATATTTGTACGAACACAAAGACAACAACGTACATTTTAAATGAGTAAATTAAATTATTGAATTGTTATATATCATTTTAATACACAACTTATGTACAAAACAAATTATTGTACTTCATTTTCATAGACCACAAGTCTAATAACAAATGCAAGTACACACTAGAGATCGACCGATATTCTTTTTTTTCTATAACCGATATCAATACCGATTATTTGCATGTTTATGTGCCAGGTAATCGTAATCAGTATACAAAAACGAGATTTGTATATTTTAGTGTTTTACTTTTGTTCTTGACACAGTGAAAACAGCATCACTGAAATGAACAAAATGTTTAATCAATAAAACTTTCGTTAATCCTAATTAGTCATCTCAAAAATAGAAAAAGTTAAAAAAATAAAAATAAAAAGGTTAAAAATGTTAGATAGTATTTTTTCATGTTAAAATGTAAAATATTAAATTTCATCTTCATAATCCATCTGTGCCAGTGGGCTCCTGTTCACATCCACACACACACACACGAGCAAAAGCATCGCCCGGGCCGATGCACAACACACATTCATTAGACGGTTTACTCAAAGAGCCTGACTGAGCTTTAGAGACAAACAGACCCGTGATACAGGAGCAGTAGGGAAGAGAGGACCCTGCTGGGAAGATTTGAGGACCCAGTGCGGTGAGGTTGAGTTAGTAAGCTGTACTGCAGCGGTGTTAGTGTGCAGCCGCAAGATCAACACCACTCACATAGCACAAAGCCAACGTCACTTATCAAACAATCACAGCAAATTAACATGTACTGCTAAATCACACACAAGTAGTCAAGATTATAAACGGATCATCTGGAGCTGGATTATGGAGGACTGAAAGCCTGTACATACCAAGTCTTATATGAATATACAGTCTGGAGCAAACGTTTAGGGAGCAGTATAGAGCATGAGTTTGAAGCACATTACCATTACTCTCTGGGAAAAAAAGGTAGCACGGACGAAAGGAAAACTGCATGTTTTTGCATGCTTTAATGCAAAAAGAAAGATAAACCAAAACAAATCAAATAAATAATAAAAAACAAAAGCCAGATCAAACAAAACAAAATAAAACTAAGCAAAAATGAAAACAAATGTCCTAGTGTCTGTTTGTGTGTGTGTGTGTCTGTCTGTGTCTCTGTGTGTGAGTGCGTGTCTGTGTGAGTGCGTGTCTGTGTGTGTGAGTGTCTGTTTGTGTGTGTGTGTGTCTGTCTGTGTCTCTGTGTGTGAGTGCATGAGTGTGTGTCTGTGTGTGTGAGTGAGTGAGTGAGTGTGTGAGTGCGTGTCTGTGTGTGTGCGCGTGAGTGCGTGTCTGTGTGTCTGTGTGTGTGAGTGTGTGAGTGCGTGAGTGCGTGTCTGTGTGTGAGTGAGTGCGTGAGTGCGTGTCTGTGTGTGTGAGTGTGTGAGTGCGTGTCTGTGAGTGTGTGAGTGCGTGTCTGTGTGAGTGAGTGAGTGTGTGTGTCTGTGTGTGAGTGCGTGAGTGTGTGTGTGAGTGCGTGTCTGTGAGTGTGTGAGTGCGTGTCTGTGAGTGTGTGAGTGTGTGTCTGTGTGAGTGAGTGAGTGAGTGAGTGTCTGTGTGAGTGCGAGAGTGTGTGTGTGCGTGTGTGTGTGTGAGTGTCTGTTTGTGTGTGTGTGTGTGTGTCTGTCTGTGTCTGTGTTTCTGTGTCTCTGTGTGTGAGTGAGTGTGTGTCTGTGTGTGTGAGTGTGTGAGTGAGTGAGTGCGTGAGTGTGTGAGTGAGCGAGTGCGTGAGTGTGTGTCTGTGTGTGTGAGTGTGTGCGTGAGTGTGTGTCTGTGTGTGTGAGTGTGTGAGTGAGTGCGTGAGTGCGTGTCTGTGTGTGAGTGTGTGAGTGCGTGTCTGTGAGTGTGAGTGTGTGAGTGCGTGTCTGTGAGTGAGTGAGTGAGTGAGTGAGTGCGTGAGTGCGTGTGTGTGTGTGTGTGAGTGAGTGAGTGCATCAGTGTGTGTCTGAGTGTCTGAGTGTCTGTGTGTGAGAGTGAGTGAGTGTCTGAGTGTCTGTGTGAGTGAGTGAGTGAGTGTGTGAGTGTGTGTCTGTGTGTGTGAGTGTGAGTGTGTGTGTGAGTGAGTGCGTGTCTGTGTGTGTGAGTGAGTGCGTGTGTGTGTGTGAGTGAGTGAGTGCATCAGTGTGTGTCTGAGTGTCTGAGTGTCTGTGTGTGTGAGTGAGTGAGTGCATCAGTGTGTGTCTGAGTGTCTGAGTGTGTGTGTGTGTGTGTGTGTGTGTCAGTACAGCAGCTTGACGTCTCCTCCTGTCCTCCAGAGGTTTGTGGAACGTTCCCTACATCACTCAGGTCTATCTGATCCGCGGAGAGACTCTGCGCTCGCGTCTGGCCCCCGTTTCTCTCTACCAGCAGGAGGGCATGGATCCAGACATGAGCTTCTGCACGAGCGTCCGCGAGCAGGTGAGCGTGCAGGGAAAAATAACGTCCGTTTCTACATCGGTCAGCGGATATTTATCCTTGATTTGACTTTATTTTAAATTAGAAAATGAACCTGCAGCATGAATATTTGGGATGCACCGAATGTTCAGCAATCCGGAATTATTCGGACGAAAATGACAAAAAAAAGCTCTTTCAGTGTTCGGCCGAAAAAGCAAAAAGACTGAATAAATTGTACCGAGTAATGACATTTTTGGTTATGCAATCAAATAGATTAAATTTATGATTTTTTACAAGGCATGGATGTGACAATGTGATACGTGCGACATCTTCCCAAAATCACAATGAGAATAATTTATAAATCTGCTGCTGTCAACAACAAAAAAAAGCACTGTTAATACATTTTTTATAACATGGTGTTCAAATTGTGATCTGTAATATTTTCTAATGTTTTAAAAAGTCTCCTCTGCTGAGCAAGGCTGCATTTATTTGTACAGTAAAAATACACAACAGTAATATTGTAATATATTATTAGAATTTAAAAAAATGTGCAGCTGTATTTTCAGCATCATTCCTCCAGTCTTCAGTGTCACATGATCTTCAGAAATCATTTTGTCATTACCTTTTAGGGATGCACGATATTGGATTTTCGCCGATATCCGATATGCCGATAATTTTCAACTCATTTCGGCCGATACCGATATATAATTATTTTAAATTTTGGTTAGTTTTTAACAATAACATGTTTGTTAGAATTAAATAAACAATAATAAAGTTATTTTATAATGACAGTACATTGAAGATTTGAAAATAACTAAATAAACTATATATTAATCACTGCAGTTTATTTTATTTTTTTCAGAAAGATACAGTGGTAACCTTAACATTTTATTTTATGATTTAACATTTGTAAATGGTCTAAAGCAAAAGAGTTGTAAACATTCTGAAAATCTTTTAGAGCTCATAATTTGTTTAAAAAATATGCATCCCTAATGAATATTGTAGGGCCTGATGATTTGTGCAATGTGGAAAACATGGAATGGAATCACAGAATCAAGTCATTGAATTTAAATGTACTGTTTAAAATTTCAATTTACATTTGGAAAAATGTGGATAAACAAATCAAAAATAGGGCTGTACATCATATCACAGTATGGACTAGTGTCTGTGGATATAACAACATTAATGAAAAAGGGATCGGTTGACATTACTGTAATATACTTACTAAACGAATTACTGTTATTATATTAATATATTAATGTTAATATATTGTTATCAGGAGTATTGCACAGTTTTCCATATGATACAGTAAACCTTTGTGCAGCACTTTATTTGCTAGAAAGTAATTTTCACATTTACATTTAATTTACATTTTAAAAGATTAAATTGTTACCGTTTTATGCTTTATCACATTTATTATAATTCATCTGTATTACATCAGAAATGCAGAACAATTAAAACATACCACAGGATATTTCTGAAAAAAGAAAACATTTTGTAGAGCCCTTTTATTGTAAAAATGTTTTATACTTAATTGTTAAAAGTATCATGGATTCAAGAGTTAATCAGTTTTTCTCTTACAAACCGCAAACTTTACAGTTTTATTCCTCTCTGTATTCAGCAGGTCTGTCCATATTTAATTCACACTTGATTTATGCAACATTTCACTCCTAAAAACACGGTGAAAGTGTGTTTGTGTTCTGTCTGTTGACAGTATTTTCTGATTTATGGACTGATAAAAAGAGAAAACTGAAAACAAAATCAACAAGAATTACGAACCTGGATTCAGATTTCTGCTCTGGAAATGTATGCAAATTAAAGCATACTTATTTAGACAATTCTTCATTTGCATATTTAAATGCAGCGTTTCAGAAAACGTGTAATACAACAAATGTTACCCTATTGACTCGGTCTCTTAACTGTGTGAGGACAGATGAGTAATTATTATACAGATATCCAGATTAGCATCATCTTGTGGAGTCAGTGGTTTGTGTCTCCTCCTGCAGGGCATCTTCATGTTCGTGTCCAACAGGGATGAGTTCGGCCGTCTCATCTCCTCCACCAATTACAACATCAGCCGTCTTCATCCGGACATGTGGCAGATATTCGACAACCCAGTGGTGAGAGATTCACACGTGAAGCACACGAGTGCAGAGACACGCACGTGAGCGCAGACTAACCCTGTGTGTGTGTGTGTGTGTGTGTGTGTGTGTGTGTGATCTCAGGACTGGAGAGAGAAATACATCCATGAGAATTACTCCAAGATTTTTGATGACGATGAGAACCTCGTTGAGCAGGTGAGACCTGATCTGATCTGATGTGTCTAAATGATCACACTGTTTCACACTCGATCTCTTCATGTCTTCTGTCGTCTGATTGAGAATTTAGAGTGTTTTCTCCAGTAAAAGCTCTTTTAGTGTAATTGTACAAGCGTCCAGCTTCAGCTGGAGCTTCTCGTGTCAAATCTTGACTGGTTTTGATCAAGTAAAGGTCAGAATAACTGCAGTAATATCTCCAGATGAACACTTACTGCACTGAAGCAGCTCAGCTTTACTTGATTCTCCATCAATCATGTTTTAGAGTCTCAAATCTGATCCTCAGGATCTTTTGAGGAGCGTTTGTTTCCAGAAGCTTTACTTTCACTGTTCCTCAGCGGAGGAATGATCTTCACAAGCCTCCAGAACATCTCACATCTTCTGAGGAGCCTTTATTTCTTCAGCTCTCAATCACTGCATTATATGTTTGGATCATTTCAATCTCATTTTACTGAGACAGATTACTGGAGATATAGAGACGACTGATATTTATAGCATTTAATATCAGTATCTGCTCTACTGTTATAAAGATCTCATTGATTTACATCACAAGCATCAGAATCTCATCAAATATTAGCATCTGAAGCAAATTCATATTTTTGCTCAGTTTGAGTCTCTGAATAAAACTGAACCGTTTTTCCTTCATATTCTCACTATATCATACTACATGAGCCATAAAAGCCTGATTGACTGAAGATTAAACATAAAACACATTCGTAAACTTTTGCTTTTATATTTTCTTTAATATTTGTCTAAAGGTTCAATAAACTGTTCTATATGAAAACATTAGTTCCCTTTCAGTCGGTCACTACGAGTCACGTCGTGACTGACGAATTGGGATCTCGCTTCGAGAGACCAATCTACTTCGAGTGTAACTAAACGAGCCAATGCACATTGGCATGCAATTATTGCATCCAGCTGCCGCTGATCACAGCGTGAGCATAAAAAGGCAGCCGGTGCAATGCGTACCAGCTTTTTGCTTTGGATCCGAGCGACAACATCGTTCTGCTCCATCCAAGTGTCTTCCGTGAGCTATGAGTTGCTATGAGCTATGAGAGCTATACCCCCTGTCGTGCTGTAAGCGGCCGTTTCCCCTGTGCGCCTCAGCACTAAAAGAGCATTTCCCTGAAAGAGCAGTTTCTCTAAAAGAGTAAAATAAGCGGGTGCGTCTTTGTAAAGACGACGGATCGTCTTTTTAAAGATGCCGTTTCACCCGTGCGTTTCTGGATGCAGTCGTTACCTGGCACCGGGTGATGGTCACGATCGCTGCCTCACGTGTCTGGGCATTAAACACGCAGAGGTGGCGTTCGCGGATGAGTCATGTTCCCATTGCGGGAAGATGACCATCTCGGAGCTGCGGGCCAGGCTCCGTTACCTCCAGGGGGCGGAGCTCCATTTGCTTCTGCCGCAATCTAGTGTTCGCAGCAGCCAGGCGTGGACTATTTCGGGCAGTAGCACGGGCGGTCTGAGGGTTACAGTGGTGGCAAACCCCTCAGGGAACCAACCCTCGGGGGACCATCATTCCTCTAGTGCTTCGCTACCAGTTGAGCCTCCAAAGGAATGCACTTTCGTCTGTAGACGATGCCGGACTTGCACGAGGGTGGCCATGATCCGGAAGTTCTGAAAGAGCTCCGAACCGCTACTGACCTCGCGCTCCGAGCGACGAAGGTCACCGCGAGTACTCTGGGTCGTGCGATGTCCAAACTTGTGGTCCAGGAGCGCCATCTCTGGCTGTGTCTGGTTGATATAAGGGACGCAGACAAAGTTGGATCCTTAATGCCTTAATTCCTTAATGTCTCTAAGCAGAGGATGGCCCACTGGATTGTGGATGCCATCACCCTGGCTTA